TTCACCTTATGTGCGACACCAGCACAGGAAGTGGAATGAAGCCCTTCTGTGTTCAGTGTGGTTCAAAGGGGCAGACTGCGCCAGGCCAGGAGAAGAATCCCACCAACATGCCACTGCTGCTGGGCGTGGTTTGTCATCGTGGAGGCAGAGAAGGAGAAAGCCTAAGGCTACGAAGTTCCCAGGTGGCCCCTCCTCTCACTCAGAGGAAAAGCCTACAAACAGCAGGTCCAGAGAAGTTGAATTCACGAAGCAACCTGTAATAAAGTTGAACAGAAATGGTACTGATTTTTTTTAAAAAGGCAGCAAAATGTACCAATAGATGAAGAATATTCACCAAAAAAATACTGCCAAAGGATAAGATGAAAATTTCAGCCAAATAGCCCTTCATGAATAAAAAAATTTAACAAAGCTATTGAATTTATGAAGGAAAATCACAACTTCTGAAGACAAGTGCTTAGAGAAGAGAGGGGAAGTTAACAAGAGGAGATGGAGTACAGTCTGGCCAAAGTAACAAAAGAAATCTTTTTAAAAATGAACCTTTGTGAAGATAAGTTGAATGAGCACAAAGAAAAATAGACCCACAGACAGGAGCATGAGGACAGAAGTGAATGGGAAGAACGTAGAGCAGAGAGTAAAATTGAGGCCTTAAGGAGACATGACGGACGTGGGAGACGGGCAAGGAGACAGGACACACACTCAGAGTCCCTGGAGAGAATGGGGGCCAGGACATCTGCTAGCACACGTCTCAGGAGTCGCCATTGTGGTCATTCTTCTCTGGCTCATGGCGTTCCCTGTCAATACGTTATCTTATTTCAGGCATGTTATCTTATTTCAGGATGGAGTTTTTGAATTCCATTTTAAAATATTTTTTCCATTCTGTTACTTTTGGTAGTTAGTTTTGGAAAGAATTAATTTTGGCAGCATTCAAAAATGTCAAATCACTGATAAGGGGGAAAACAGGCCGGTCTTAGATTTCTTACCAGCCACATTTGGCACCAGTGAATGCTGAACGGCACCTACAGGCTCCTTGAGGGAAAAGAGATGGGAATCTAGGAGTTTATATACAGCTATCTGTCTTTCAAGACTAAAGGCCACTGAAGACATGGAAACAACCCAAGTGCCCATGAATGGATGAATACGTAAAGAAGATGTGGTGTACACAATGGAATACTATTCAGCCGTGAGAAAGAAGGACATCCAGCCATATGAGACAACATGGATGGATCATGAGGGCATTGTGCTAAGTGAGATAAGTCAGATAGGGAAAGACAAATACCGTATATGTGGAATCTAAAAAAGCTGAGCTCGTAAAAACAGAGAGTGGAGTGGTGGTTACATGGGCCTGGGGGTAGCGGAGACATTGCTAAAGGAAACAAACCTACAACTAGCAGATAAATAAGTTCTGGAGCTCTCATGCACAGCATAGTGATTATAGTCAACAATACTGTGCTACAAACTTCAAAGCTGCTAAGAGACTATGTCTTAATTATTCCCACCGCAAAAAAGAAATGATAATTACGTGACGTGATGGAGGTGTTAGCTAACACAACAATGACCATCATGTTGCAATCTATAAATGCATCAAATCAACATGTGTGCACCTTATACTTCCACAATGTCACATGTCAACTATCTCTCCATCTAAGAAATAAAGTACTTCCTTAAAAAAAAAAAAAAAGAATAAAGCTTACTGAAAAGCAGTTTTGAACATCCAAGAATCCAGGAAATAGATTTCCATAACCCCATATGGCGAAACTACCAGTGGGAAAACATCAACCACCAAAAGATGCTTGGAGAAGCCAGGGCCAAAGAATCAACAGTAAATACTCCGTGTAGTTAGCTGTGAGACTGAGACCGAGACTGGAGCCTGAGCAGGAGGAGAACGGCGTCTGTCCTGACAAAGCACAGACTTTGGAACCAGCAGAAACTGGTCCAGGGGAACCCAACACGGGTGGTAGACTGTGAACTGTGGCCTCACTCGTAAGAGCTGGCATCAAAGGACATCCACTGAGTTGAACCAAGGAATAGAAGCAAAAGCAGAGTGGACGTGCAAAGAAGTACCAGAAAATAACATGACCGACTAGGGTCATGTGATGGGAGGGACGGAAGGAAGAGGAGACCACCGATGTGCGGAGAACTGGTGCCTGTTGTCGAAGGAAGCTCAGCCCAGAGGACGTTTTGGAAAGTTACCACTAGAAGGATAACCACCACACACACAACAGCAGAGAAAAGGCAACTTGAAATGGAAACTCCCTTTGGAAGTTTAAAAATAGAAAACATAACATTGGGCCAGCCCAGTGGCTTGGCGATTAAGTGCGTGCGCTCCGCTGCTGGCGGCCCGGGTTCAGATCCCGGGCGCGCACCGACGCACTGCTTCTCTGGCCATGCTGAGGCCACGTCCCACATGCAGCAACTGGAAGGATGTGCAGCTATGACACACAACTGTCTACTGGGGCTTTGGGGGAAAAAAATAAAATTAAATTAAAAAAAAAGAAAACATAACATAAAATGGTAACACAGGATGTAGACCAGACACACCTGTCCAGTCAACAAATGGGAGCGATCTCAACAGGCCTATCAAAGGGAGAGACTTTCAAATCGGGTCACAACACAAAACCCAACTCTCACAGCACCTGAGTATTACACACACAAGGAGAGAAGTTGGAAAACTTGAGTAAATTTGTGCCGCCTTTTACAGATGAAGGGACTTGAAGCTCGGAGCATTTATGTGACTTCTCCATGGTGATAGCACAGTAAGGTGGAGCAGGACCTACCTGTGGCCCTACGGACACCGAAGCCCCTGCTCCAAGGTAGGTCGATCTGCCCACTGCAAGACCACAGGGAGCTGGCCTGGCTCAGTGCAGACGCAGCACCATCAGTGGAGAAGCAGCTCGGCACGCTTGGGACAATTGTGATGGGTCAGTGACCATGCTGGTCACACGTCTGGATGGGAAGGCCAGCACATCTTCAAGACTCCAGAATGGAATTCACATTCCAGAAGCTGAGGGAGCCGTATTTCCCGATTCTGTCCCATCCGAGACTCAGTCCACAGACACCACGTTCTCTAACACAGTTGGGTGCTCAGCCTCAGCCAATGGTCACTGGGAGCCTTCCCAGAACTCTGAGGCCACGAGGCTCCTCCCCTTCCCTCTCACCACAGGCTGGAAGTTTGCGAGGGTGGAAATCTGTGGGAACATGAGGAAGGAGTAGCAGGCAAGGAAGAACCTCAAATGCTAAGTCCAGACCCACAGGAGAACAGCTGGAAACCGCCTCAAAAATGCCAATGATGACAAGGAGCATGAGTGCAGCCCTCTTCCTGCCTTGGTATGTGGGGGTGAGTCCCCATCTCCCTTGGCCCCTCCTAGGGCTGTGGGTCCCCCTCTGGGTACTGTTGGCTGATCATTGGGCTTGGCCCAATTTACTCCAACCTTCGGGCAAAGAAGGGAAGAAGGGGCTCGTCATCTCTGAGACCTTGTCGAATGTCCAGGTCAGTGCACAGAAGGGACAGGCAGAGGGGTGCTGCCCTCTGGACCTGAACCCAGGGCTCCTTCTCCCAAAACTGAATATCCCTCAGGGTTGCGCCATCCCGTCCCTGTGCAGCCAGTCTGTGCCGTGCAGAGAGAGGTAAAAATGAGGTGTTCGTAGAACAGCAAGTCCTCACAGATAGGGGAGGCCCGGGATGGACACGAGGCATCATTCTGGACAAGCAGATGTAGAAGAAGCTGGGGCCTCCCTTCCTGTATAAAAAGCCAGAGTGGCGATGAGAATGCCTTTGCTCCTATCCCTCCTTCCTGCTTCAGGTGCCCATGAGCCCCTTAACGCCTCCGGCCACAGCAGCCCCTCTCCAGTCTCCAAGGAAAAGACATTCACAGAGACACCACATCCCCCCACCAGACCCTCAGCAGCTGAGCAAGTTCCCATCTCGTCTCCTCATTCCATGAGAAGACACAGCTCATCCTGGCACTGATCAGGCCTTCTGCCACTTGTAACTGACGGTGTTCCCTCCGCAGAGAATGATGACCTTCCCGGCCAGTCCCCTTCTCTCGGGCACGTAGGGGAGCTTATGAGATCTCTCAGGACTTTGTCAACCCCCCTGCCTCTCCAGCCACAGGGACGGGTGGGGTACGTGCGAGGAGGCCCCAGAATCTTGCTCTTTCTTTGACTATCGCCTTTTGAAATTTACAGCATGAGTTTGTGGGGCCCCCCTCATTTTTTTCTTTTTTGTTTGTAAGTTGTTAACTTTTTTTCTAGTTTGTATTCTTTTTGGCTCATGTCACCGAGTATTAAAGGAGGGAAATTCTGTTTCTTTCCACTTATTTCTTTGTATTTCCCTGGGTAACTTCTCATACCTGTTGATTGATTGGCTGCCACAGCCACGTGCCCTGGAGTCGCTTCTGACCCTTGAAATGAAGTGGCAAGACCTTTTCTCTGTGTTTTTGCCCACAAGGACCTTTGTTCTGGAGAAAAGCACTCAGAGACCACCCCCCGATGGCAGAGGCCACCAGAAGTCGGATGTTCTGTGAACGTGAGGGATGCTTGCATTGCTCTCCAAAGCGCACCTGCACTCCGGCCACCTGGTCTACCACATCCTGCAAAACCCCACCTGAGTGCAACTAGCTCACCACAGTGCCGTGGGCCTGGAAGGCTGGGGAAAGCCCTGGGCCCACCAGCAGTGTCCTGTCCTTCAGCGAGGCCCGTCCATCACTGCTTCCATTCACCCCAGCAGAGGCCAGGCGTCGTCTCTGATTTTTCCATCTGCTCGACATCATGATCCAGAAGATCAATGAGCAGGGCCAATGCTGCTCCCACGATCTTCCATCATCACTGACCCGACGGCCTTACCCTCTGGCTTGGACATCAAGGCCACCGAGCCAGCCGAGAGCCACTCCTGGATCACTGGCTGTTTTCAGAAGCAATTGCACTGACGTATCCTGACTAACAAGGGAGCTAGTGACCAGGGCACCCTCTCCACCTGCCCTCAGGGGTTCAGCCCTTAGCTTGGCCCCAAGTCCTGCTCAGGGCAGCCGAGCCAGGAGACACCTTCCCAGTTGCCTGTCTGGAGTAGAGTAGGGCCCCTCATGAAACCAGAGGTGTGGGCAGAGGCTGGAAAACCAACTCAGCATGGCCAGTGGGCCCAGCTCTGGCCACCCCATTACACCAATCCAAGTGCCATGCCTGGCACACATGGTGCCCACGCCTATAATACCCATACCCTCCCCCTGGCCTGTGCTTGTGGGGTGGGGATGGGGTGGGCTCCCAGACCTGGCCAAGGGATGCTGCAGGAGCCCAGCCCAGGCATCAGCACAGCCAGCCTCATAGTGGGCAGGCTCTGTGCCCACCACAGCTGCCTTGACCTGAGCCCTGCACAGCATTGCCAGGAAGAGACAGGGAGACAAGGCCAGAACTTTCTCTGGAAGGTTAGGAGAGCTCTGCAAAGGCCAGGGCCTGTCACATGTGGACCCACTAGGACACTCTGGTCAGCAGGAGCTAGACCGGGTCCTCCCCAGGCCAGACGATGCATGCAGCCTGGCTGGTCCTCTGCCCAAGGTGAAGAGGCGGGATGGGGACTGGAGCCTGGAGGGAAGGGGCTAAGCAGGGCCTGGTGGACACCTTCCCTCCCCCCCGTCAGGAACTAGACACGCTGGAGAGCCAGAGCAGGTGTTTCCTGAAGGGTCTGAGGCAGCGCCCCCCATTCGGTCCCTGGAAGGAAGACTGGAGGCCCCAGATCTGAGACTGCAGCAGGAAGAGCCTCCAGAAAGGGGCTCAGGGCCTGAGGACGGCCTGCCCATGAGCTGTGAGCACCCCTACAAGTCCTGGAGGGCAGGTCCCCAGCCCACAGGGAGAGGGCATGCCGGACCCTCCCCCATCACCCTCCGGAGGGGGCTCTGGAGGCCCAGGCAGGGGGCGGGGAGAGGCTAGGAGGACATAACCCACCTTGGACCTGCTCCCTACAGGGCCAGCCAGTTCACCTCCTCACAGCGTGGGAACACCCATCAGTCTCTCTTCACCCCCTCCCTGGCTGGCCTCCTCCTCTTCTGCCCTCCACCGCAGGTGCCTTGGGGCCACGCGTCCCATCTGCCTGTGCCCAGTGTGGCCCCTGACGGCTCCACCCCATGGTCTTCTGTCAGCACCCTAGACCCAGAGACTGTCCCCACGCTGGCGACTGTCCGGTCGGTCTGGAGAGGCCCCAGTGCCCCCAGGTCACCGTGGGGTCTCCCAGGCACCTCGAATTGGCCTGCCAGAAGCTGACATTGCCAAGTGCGCCCCTCGCTGTGCCTGTGCCTCCACACTGGCATCTCCCCATCTCTCCAAGACCCAGGGCCAAGACCTGGAACCCCACCTTTTGTCCTGAATCCTGGGAGAACTGCCTCAGAAACACCACCACTCCCCCTGCCCTCTGCCCACCTCCCTCGTGGAGGCCCTATGACCCCGCTCATCTCCCCCTGGCCACCCCAACCCTCTCTCAGCACCCAGGCTCCCTCCCCCGAGGCCCCCAGCCCAGCCCAAATCCATCCTCCTTGCTGTATCAGATGGATCTTTCTAAACTGAAACTCTCAACAAGCCCCCCCACATCCTTCAGCCTCTTTGCCGGGCACACAGGCCACATTTAAATCCAGCTACATCAAACCACCTGCCCTTCCCCTCCAGACACATGGCCCAGCCTCTGGGGCTCAGCCCTGGCTGTTCCCCTGCCTGGAATTACACACACACACACAAGCACAAGCACAAACACACACACACGACTTCTCAACATGCTGCTCACTCACCCCTCCCCCAGCTGGCCTTCAGGGTGTCATCACTCCATCCCGGGTGCCAGCTGTGTCCATGCCCCTCTGTCTCCCCCAGCAGTGGGCTGTGCTTGAGTGCACCTGCCATGCTCACACCTGGCTCTCAGAGCCTGTGCCGTCTCCATCTCCCCTAGGCCCCGCACCTGGTACACCTGTGGGCCCCAGTGCCGAGCCCCAGGTCTGACAGGTGGTGGGTGCAGACTCCCCTCCCCCTCCCTCAGAGCCCCCCAGGGTTGGGGGAGAACAGCCTGTGCAGTTCTGGGGGGACCCTCTCCCTTAGACCACCTTGCCCCTCCCCCTGCACCCACCCTCTGGCCAGGGCATCAGCAGCTGAGATCCCTTCCTGAGGACCCAAGAAGCCTGGGGGGCAGGGCAGGGACCTGGCTGCTGTGAGCACACAGTGCCCAGGACTCGCCCCTCAGGAGCCAGGTCCCTTGGAGAAGAGTGAACAGATGGAATTAACAAGGGGCTGCTGCAGGTCAGCCATAAACCTGGTGGGGTCCACGGACCCGCCAAGCACGGTGCACTGCCCTCACCCACCTGCCACCGCTGCTGGCCTTTCTCCAGCTGAGAGCATGAGTGGTACACAGGAGACGAGACAGCCTGGAGGCACAGCCTTGGCTCTGCTCTTATTTCAGAAAGAAAAAGAACAAGGGTTGGGTGATGGGGGGCTCCTGGGCCTCCCTCAGCTGCCAGCTCAGCCCCCTGCCCCTGCTCTACCTTACCCACCCACCAGCCTTCGGGTTTTTGGCTAAGCTGGGAACCACAGTGCTAACTGGGACCACAGTGGCTGACAACTTTACAAAAACCTCGGGGCCAGAGGGACCCACGGCAGCTGGGCCCAGGCCTTCCAGGGCCCACGCCCTCCAGGGTCCATGCCCTCCAGGGCCCACTGTCAGATACACGAGGGAATCGGGCAGGGAGCCCAAAAAAGCTGGAAGAGAAGCAGCTCTTGGGCCATCTCGGAAGGTGAGGGGACTTTCCAGGTGGACACAAGTGGAGACGTGGAGCTGAGTCACAGAGGCCCTGGGGGAGGGGTGGCGTGTCAGCAGCCTGGGCATGCAGCGCAGCGAGGGGCATCGGAAGGTTGAGCAGGGAAACGTGACCTCATGGGACCAAAGCAAGCCAGGTGTCAGGAAGGACGCCCCAGCCCAGACCTGGGCACTGAAGGCAGGAGGGAGCTTGCAGCGGCACGGAGTGGGCAGTCTCTTCAAGCAGAGAACAGACTTTCCAGCCCCTGGGGACCCTGGGGCTCCCGGGGACCCTGGCTGCAGGGGTTTCTGTGGCCCCCCGCACGGGGCCGGCTCACTGTGCCTATGCTTACTTAGAGCACTGGGGCCGGGGCACCCTGGTCACCGTCTCCTCAGGTGAGTCCCCATCAGCCGCTCTGGTGTGCATCGGACCAGGTCCCCGGGCCTGAGGCCGGTCTGTGTGGGCTGAGTCTCTTGGCCTGGGACGAAACTGGGGCCCTGGAGGCCAGGCAGGGACCCTGCTGAGTTCTGGCCCAGTGAGGGACTGGCCCTCAGGGCTGACAGACCCCTGGGTGGTGAGCAGCCGAGAGCTGGGAAGGAGAAGTTGTGGGCAGAGCTGTGTGGCTGGGCCAGGAGGTTTGTGTGCCAGGGGCCGGGCAGACGCTCCAGTGCACTTATGAGTATTTCGATCACTGGGGCCAGGGCACCCTGGTCACCGTCTCCTCAGGTGAGAGGGCTTTCTCTCTGCCCTCTGTCCTGGGGCTGGGGAAGATATTTCTGGAGATTCCTTGGTCTGTGTGGGGCCCTGGGTCTGTTCAGAGGCTGTTTTGTTCTCTGTTCTGGACACGGCCTTTCTGCAGGGATAGGGGTCTCTGTCTGTGACTTTCAGGCCAAGTGGGCTCCTGGGCTGGGACACAGACACCTAAGGAGATGCGGCTTCTGTCACAGCCAGGCAGCTGGGCGGGGGACTAGGGTTTTTGTACACCCCCTAACGGGGCCTGTGGCAATGTGATGGTTTTGCTCACTGTGACAAGTGCCACATGACCATCTTCTGCTCAGGTGAGTCCCCACAATCCCTCTCCTCTCTCTCCCTCTGACGGATATTTGCTGCATTTTGGGGGAATATGAGGATGTCTGGGTCTAGGTCTAGAAGGACTGGGGGGCCCAGGAAGGGGATGAGAAGGGGCCACAGCTCTCACGGAGGAGGAGAGGCTTCTCTGGGTGTCTCGGCCACCTTGGCCTCTGGGGTCTCATGATCCTCTCGGCCCTCACTGGGCGCGATTTGAGGTGGTCCCAAAGCCTCAGCCGGGCGCCATTTCTTGCCCGGGGTCCCGGCACAGTTGTCACAATGTGACAATAGGTTGGATAACTGGGGCAAGGGCATCCTGGTCACCGTCTCCTCAGGTGAGTCCTCCACCCCTCCCCACTCTGACTATACTTGGGGAGATCTGGGTGTCGGGGTCTTGATGTCGGAGACCCCGAGGCATTTTGGAAGTCAGGAAAGGGAGCAGGGAAGAGGGTCCCCCTATATGGGGGCTGGAGAGTGACCTCCCCCTGCCCCAAGGACGCCTCTGTGTGGGGGACAAGGTGGCCTTTTGGCCCCTCTGGCCATTTAATGTGAGCCTTATTGGGGGCCGCCGTGGCTGGTGCGTAATTGGGCTTCATCGGCTCTGAGGTGCCCGGTCTCAGGGCAGTGGCCGTCGGGGTGATTGGACTGCAGAGTTCCACTTAGGGGCTGTGGGTTCACAGTCAGACGGCCCAGGCCGGAATGCGGGTACTCCAGACAGTCGGGGGGGAGTGGCTGGAGGAGGGTTCCGGGACCCTCCAGAGAACAGTGACTTGGATGGTCAGCTTCCATTGGTGCCTGGAGACAGAGCAGGTCTCCGGTGGCCTTGGGGTGATGCCAAGCCGAGTCCTAGGGTTTTTGTGGGGTAAGGATGGAGATTCCACCATTGTGATTACTACTATTACTATATAGACAACTGGGGCCAGGGCACCCTGGTCACCGTCTCCTCAGGTGAGTCCCCACAACCCCTCTCCTCTCTCTCTCTCTGAGGGATTTTTGCTGCATTTTGGGGGAAAATGAGGATGTCTGGGTCTAGGCCTAGATGGACTAGGGACAGACTGGGGGGCCCAGGAAGGGGATGAGAAGGGGCCACAGCTCTCATGGATGAGGAGGGGCTTCTCTGGGGGTCTCAGCCACCTTGGCCTCTGGGGTCCTATGGTCCTCTCGGCCCTCACTGGGCTTTGGTCCCAAAGCCTTAGCCGGGCACCAGTTCTTGCCTGGGTTCCCGGCACAGTTGTCACAATGTGACAATAGCTTTGCTAACTGGGGCAAGGGCACCCTGGTCACCGTCTCCTCAGGTGAGTCCTCCACCCCTCCCCACTCTGACTATACTTGGGGAGATCTGGGTGTCGGGGTCTTGATGTCGGAGACCC